ATCACATTCCCAAATTAATAATTATGTAACAAAAAATTAAAAATCGCTTTTGTAGATGCAGTGGCATGTGTAACACACTTTGAGAACACTGCACTAATATATTCTGTCTAAATACTATCAAAGTCCCAGTTCTGCCACTGATTAGTTGTATCATTTTGGGCACTTCACTTTCTCTTTCTGGGGCTTTTTCTTTCATTGTAGAATTTGAGTGTTATTCCACCACCTCTAGAATCCTTCCCCGGTTTTAATGTTTATGATTTATACACTCTTAAGAGCAATCTTCCTTTGCAGAATTTCAATCTCTCCCTTTTATAAACATTATAAGGCATAGGGGAATTCAAAACTACAAAACACTCATGTCCCATCATCTCATCCCACAAGAATTTGCCCATGGCTCTTGATCCTCCAATTATCTGTCCTAAATCGGCCCCCGTTTCAGGTCTCAGCAGGGAACAGCTCTGATATACTAAGAAGCAGTAGATAGCTCTTTATTTTCTAAGGGTTTCCCTTACAAACAAAAGTACTAGTTTATTATTGCTGCCAGGTGATGCTTGGCAAAGAAAAGCATTGCATGGGATGGCCCACTCTAAGGCAGTGACTGGATTTCTATGTTGACTCGGATTTCTAACGGACTAATAAGACAAAGTCGAGAGGACCCTGCATCTTGTATCCAGGCAGCCATTCACCACAGGCTGTCCAAATCATTATTTGGCCTTTCAACCCAGAGGGACAGACAATAATTCTACCCCCCACCCTTCACCCCCCATAATACCAAGCACACCTTATTGTGAAGAATTTAGTGTCAGAACTGTAAGGGAGTTTGAGGTCACTCAGGCTAATTCTTCACTGTACAGATGAGAAAACCGGGGGCACACAGAGAAGCGATCTAGCCCCCGAGGCCTGACTTGGGAGTCTAGTGCTCTTTACTCAGATGCGCTCCCTTCTTTCATCTGACAAAATGAAGCCAATTCCTCTTACGGTTCTAGGGACTCTCCGACACGTCTCAGCAGCGGCACCTCTCCTCAGTCACTCCTCCCACCGTGTGAGGCAGTCCAGAACTGCCAGCAGCCGCCAAAGCCTGCCCCAAGCTGGGTCCAGTCGCTGTGTGGAACCCGAACCTCTCGAGAGCAAGGCGGAACCCACTCGGCGCCGGAACCCCCGGCGTCGTCACTGCTGCGCGTCGGAGGGATCATTAGGCTGGTGCCCCGATGCCTTCGTCACTTCCGCTCCCGTGGGGAAGCAGGAAGCACGGAAGACTGGAGAGGAGGGGGACCTAGGGAGTCTAGGCGACGGGGCGTGACGGAGCTGGAAGGTTGTGGGAGAGGGCCGGGCAGGAGCCGGCGGGAGGGCCAGGCCTGGAGGCCCCCACCCTGGCGTGCCCGCTCCGGCCGCAATTGAGGAGGAAGAGGATGATTTCCAGATACACTCGGAAGGCGGTGCCACAGAGCTTGGAACTGTGAGTGGACTGCTCAACCATCCCAGCCGCGGCCAGGGGAGGCCGAGGCGGGGTGCGGGCGCTCTGGGACTCGCCATGACCAGTTCCTCGCTCCTTTTTTTTCCCAGGGAGGGAGAAAGAAA